ATTTAGTGGAGGTGTGGGGGCTTTGTTGGATTATGCTGTAGGTTAATGAAGCCCCCTCCCCTAATATCTTTCAGGATCACTACATGTTTTCATTAGTGTCTTGATAATGGTGAATATCGTTAACTATTAAAATTATCTATTAGTTTATGTAAAAGTGGTATAACCATTTCGGATGCATTGAATACTTAATAGCATTGTAGTAAAAATATACTAATCAAACAAGTATATACATTTAAAGCTAATAGTTTTCTGTAGTTCTGTCATTACTCATTAGATTCGTGATTGGAATAATTAAAATAATGATTAAAATAAATTATCATTGGAGTTTATCGTATGTTTATTATTAAGATGACGTGATACCCGCATTGTCTACGTCTTACAAGTGTGTAACATAGCAAATTATACGCAAAGCAGAAACACGCGTAGCTCCGTTAGCTTAAAAATTAGAGTGAATTGACTTCTTATAAAATCTAAAGGTAAGATTATTATCTAGACAACCTCATGGGCATGGGCTTTTTATAATATTTTAATCTTAAAGCGAGCTATGAGTATTTTAAAATTGTAAATTGCTTGTACATTTTAAAGGGCTCATAACTCGCTTAAAAATTAAAATATAATAAAAAGCTCATGAGGTTGTCTAGATCAGCGTTACCCATATCATTCCCAAACAATTTTTTTGATGGGTCACAACTCGCGAGTCGCGGCTACCATTACGCTTATTTCAGTATTTTTGTATTTTTTTATAATTTAGTTTATTTATTTATTATGTGTTATGTATCAAGTATTGTATTTTATAAAAGTGCAATGATAAAATTAGTAATAATAAAAATATTATTTACTTAAGGAATACTAGATTTTTTTTTTTAGCAGGGGGTCGGCGTACCCAATAAATATTAAACGTATGGGTCGTCATTGCAAAAAGTTTGGGAAACACTGGTCTAGATAATAATCTTACCTTTAGATTTTATAAGAGGTCAATTTACTCGAATTTTTAAGCTAACGGAGCTACACGCGTGTTCTGCTTTGCGATAATTTGCTATGTTACGCACTTGTAAAACGGAAACAACACATGATGGTATCACGTCCTCTTAACACCTCCTTTCTATTGAGTGACTGATACTACAACTGCCCCTCAAAGATAATACTGGGTATATACATTATGCAATATTTTCATACAATTTTGCTACAATTCAGGAAACTATATTTAATGCATTTAAATTATTACATGTAATAAATAAATTAATAACTATTAACCGTTTATTAACCGTTTTAATGATGATAACCTCTTGCATCTTTATTATTGTATTACATTTTTGCACTTGAACCTATACAACTATTTGTTGCAGTGAATCGATTGATTATGTGATTTTTATTCAGTGTGTTGAAAATCTACATGTTATTACTGGTAAAACCGATTGCGTACGATTTACCTTATGAAGAACACCGCGATTGCATATGTTTGCTGTATAACAATGGAAACTCGTAAAACTACACGATTTCGTATGCAACGTTGTCAAATTTATAATTATACAATTTACTGTTTTCAAAAGTTTACCCATACGTTTTAAAAAAGTTTAAAAAAAATCTAACCTTGGCAAAGAGGATAATATATTAAATATTAATAATAACCCGTACTTGGGTATAAAATTACTATAAAGCTACTACAATACTAGAGTATCAAATATAACACTCTCATACTGCGACTTCTTATTTAAATTAGGTACTTTAAAACCGGTCTATCTACCAGTAACAAATATAAATCCAACACACCACCTAGCATTATTTTTACACTTAACGAAAACACCAGCAAAATCTACATACTCAAATCGTAACATAATAAATAATATAATTAATACAATAATAATAATTCAATACAATTACTGATCACTATATTATTTTAATCCACATAAAATCGTCATTACAATAATTTATAAATATTATCAAATCACATGAACACTTTCAAAAAAAAAAAATTTTAATGAATGTTTTTTTGGTAAATAGAGCCAATTTTAATAAATATATCATAATATTTTTGTCAATTTTATACGGATCATATATTTTAATAGAAGCTTTAATCCGTTTAAAACCAAATAGATCCATATTTTTATGAACAGCCAAATTCAATATACGTATTTAAAATATAATCAGTAAATATAATATAATCTTCAGTTTAATTTAGACACTAACTCATAAATTGAATAAAACCATCTTTGACTTGTTCGAATAGTAGAAATGGTAGTCCAAAAATCAATTTTAACCACTTGCCCAATTCGTCGTCATTAATATATGATGCTCGTAAAGTGATGTGGTTTTGTATCTAATCAATTAAATAATTTATTAATAATGATTAATTTATTTTTTATGGCTAAATGGAATCGACACCCAATACTCTTTATTTTGGGAAACACCGTTTTTTCAGCCTCACGAGTATCAACTTCAAAATCAACATGCAATTGTTTTATATTTAGCATTTCAGATGAATATTTTAAGCTTAATTTAATTAAATACATCCACAGTTGAATATAATTTTCTTTGCATTTATCAATTAAAAAAAAAAACCAAAGGTAAATAATAACTGTTTTTTAATCCATGTATCGTATAAAGTTGCATAAAGTACTTGGGTGTATATTCAAACGTACCATCTACAAATACATCTTCACACTGTAACAATATTTTAATATTTTTGTTCGTTGTAATGCAAATAAATTTCAAATCGTCTGGCGCGTGAACAAATTCTTCATTTTGAATTTAAATTTCAGAAAACAAATTTTTGAATTTAAGCCCATAACCTTCTTCCATTTTCCTCAACTGAAATATGGCACAGGTGTCAATGAATCTGGAAAGGAGGATAGTTTTTCCGTTTTTTATTATACATGGCTTTTCTTATGGATTTTATATCTGAGTATGACACTTAAAAATCTGTTGCCATCAGCTATGGTTATTTTTTATGGCCCAATTTAAATTGAGTAATTTGCTTTGCGTTTACAATTTTCTCGTAAAATTTGGTTTTCGATTTTCTCCATTGCATTTAAAATATAATTGTGCTCACCCAACATTGATAATACTTTTGAACAGCCACTGTCTGTTATAATATACCTACTGACATAACATGTCATGTGTGTGCACAACCATTTAACCTGCCCGTCTTTTCGTTGTCGTAAAAACGATATATTTTGTTTGTGCCAACTAATGCCACCTCTTTTCCTAGTTCAAATGAAATTATTATTTTTATTGTTTCATTTTCAAAGTTTTCCATTTATTATATATTACACTCGATCTGAAAGTTCGTAGGTCAACTGATAAAATCTACAACGGTTATAACTTATAAGTATAGTGTGAACTTTTATTTCTCGAATCACGATAATCATATGATATGGTTTCTAGTTTTGCCTATGTGTGATTTCCCAGCATGACAACGTTGCACAAAAATAACGTACCCAATTATCGTGTCATGAAAAACGTTAAAAAAGGTACCGCCGATAAGCAGCGTATACGAAATCGTATTATTCTACTGGTCATATAATTTTTCTTCACAAATTTTAAACATTATTTGAGAAGTAGAAAATTATTTATAGTATAATAATATCATATACTTAAATTTATATCTAATGCAGTAGACGCTGCTTAAGACTCACGGATATAAGGTTCAGTCGCTTATTAGACTCAAAATCGTCTGGAACGGTCCGGACGTATCCAAATACAGTGAAACCTCGATAACTCGAACGTCTATAAGTCGAATTTTCGATAACTCGAAGGAATATCTTCTCCCCTTCGTTTCAATAAGTACACACAGATTTTTCTATAACTCGAATTTTCGAAAACTCGAATTTTTTTTTCACCCCCAACCGATTCGAGTTATCGAGGTTTCACTGTACATTAAAAAAAAAAATCGGTAATAAGACTCAAATTTCGTAAAATAAATAGTAGAAAATAAACTTCATAAGATTCATTCGGTTATAAGACTCACTTTGTGATGGTCCCAAAGTGAGTCTTATAAGCGGCGTCTACTGTATATAAAAATCTCGTGTCACAATGTTTGTTAAAAAACTCCTCCGAAACGACTCATGAAATTTGTTGTGTATATTAAGTAGGTCTCAGAGAGTGATGTAAACTATTTTTCATACCCCTGGGTGTAAAGGGTGGCTCACCACAAATATTTTTTAATATTTACCATGTAAATTGTATATTTATATGTTATTAGATTAGATTACGTTTCCACCTACCTGCAACCTGACCTTTTTGTCGGTTTTACTTTTTATCGGCGAGTAGATATAATTGTTCCGAGAAATTCATCGAACTATATATTATACCGATTATGCAACATGTATACCCTTAATATTAAACGCCCGCTTATTTATCGCATTTAACGTATTCATCAGAAACGACTCGATCGTTGAATGGGTTGGTCTAACACAATAATCTCTCTCATTTATAAGAAAGGTTAATAATCACATATATGAACTTTAATTGTATCGATTTGTGTAATTTGTACAGTGCCAGCAAGACGCAAGGGGTCTGATTTGGCCCGTCGAACGACCAAAAGTACAAGCATGCGAGCCCTGAAGAGCCCAAAGAAGAGACGTACAAATCCAACCGAACAATGAAAATGTACTTGTAAACATGGTGCGATTGCATGAGGCACAAGCTGAACAAAATCAAATAAGACGATTAGAAGCGCATCAATTCGTAGTTGACACACGCAGAGCAAATGACCGACAACGCCAACAAGTACATAGAGCATTTACATACAATTCATTCCTTCGTCTAGCATTCGAGTATGGGCCCGATATTGAATATTAAGCTCATTCGAAAGTAGAGATTGGTGCTATGGATAAGGAATGTTCGCATTGTAATGCGCTGAAGTTCAAAAATGAGCCAGCCGGTATAAACTACCGGAAATTGAAACACCACCTGAACCATTGAACGGTTTACTTATCGGTACGGATCCAGATTCTAACCTATTCCTGAAGTCAATTCGAACATTCAATTCATGTTTCCAAATGACATCGTTCGGAGCAACAGAAATAGTTAAAAATAATGCTGCAAATGGTCAACAATTTAATTCAACATTCAAAATCAAAGGCCAAGTTTATCATAGAGTGGGCTCATTGCTACCAATGCCAAACGAACCACATCAATTTTTACAAATTTACTTTATGGGTGGTGAGGACTCCGAAAGCGCACTTGCCAATCTCGTAGATGCACGTTGTAGTTACAATAACCAATTCACCTTTTGCCAGACGCATCGTCGGTGATCTAGACGCTTTATTGAATGAGCACAATGAATTGTTGAAATTATTCAAATCACACATGCACAAATTACAAAGTGACAATCAAGCAATTATTATTATTATTATATATATTTTTATGGGCCGTCATCTTTCATAGTGCTCCATTCATCTCTCAGTCATATACCAATATACGACATTCCCACACACTTACAATAATTTAATTATTTTTTATTTGAATACCAAAATATTTACTAGAAATAATTTATATGGCAAAACAACGTTTGGCTGGTCAGCTAGTATGATTATAATACGTTGTGAAGCTAGATTCCCAATTTTAACGACAATCTTACTTTATATTATAATTTCCAACTTTTTTTGACTGATTTATAGGTTAGGTAAGGCCTATATATTTTATATTATTTGATTTTTAGTTCTTTTTTTCTAATTGTTGTATTTTATTTTTGATCTAATATCTATCACAACTATTTAAATGTTGAGTTATACAATTTATTTATTTAAATTGTTTCTGCAAACACGGCATAATATAATATTTTACTGCGTGTCTTATAAATAAAAGAACATTGCCAAAGCTATTGCAGGCTGTATAATATTTTTATTTTACCAAGGTTCGCAGATTAACGATTATAATAAAATATGTCTACATTGCGTTTTTAATTTTATTCAATATAAAACTATTTTGAAAAAAATAAACCAGTTAACTCACAGTGCTGTATTATAGGTTACGAGTATAATATTATACGAGTATACCTCGTAATTGAGTAATTGAGTGATTGAGTAATTCACCGTAATGGCCAATGGTTATGTTAAATTCAAAACGCAATGATAGATCATATCATCATTGTAAATATAAGAAGACAATTATAATGATCGAGACGGCTGGATCAGGATCTCTGGATAGTTTATGTTATATTATGTTTATATAATTATTATTTATTGGTATTTTCTTAATTTAGTAGGTTGAATTATTAATGATTATTGCCAAAAATATTGCACACCTAAAACTCAAAGGTTAATTTACTAAATTTCTCATCATTGAATGGTGAGAATAAGGTCGTGATATAAATTGTAATACAATTAGTTCAAATATTTAGAATTTTATATCATGTCTGGAAAATTATCTACAATCTCTTTCCCCTTCTGATTTTTTTCAAATTATGTTACACTATAATATAATGAGTCATTGTATTATAAGTAATTATTAATCACCCCAATTTCAATTACATATCCAAAAACCAAATATTATGTGTTACTGAAGAATCACACAGACCATGGGATGGCCGCCACTATACATAGAATAATATGATTAAAAATTATTATTTAATTTTTTTTTTTAAATTATTATCTACACTGACTGTGATGGGTTATCGGTCGGTCTAAATAACCATGAAGAAAATATTCAAGGATAAAATATCCAAATTTAATAATTTAGAAAAACGTTTTTATAAATTACAACTAACATCTTAAAATTTTGTTATAGTAAAATAATATTATAAGTACCAAAAAAATTAAATCAATGTTAAAGTTGAAGCAATTTTTCAGTTCCAAAAAGTGTCATTAGGCGCAAAAAAACCACATGACATTATAAAACCGTTATATTCCTTGTTCAGCTCATTACAGAAAAATTATAAACTCTCTTAATGTACCTATACGGATGGAGCTTAAGTTTTTTTAGTATAGTTCAACCATATTTTTTTTTATTTAGTTAAAACAGGTATTACTTATAGGTTATTGGCGATAAAAATACCAATAATTTATAGGCTTGTGGGTTGTATTAAAAATTAAACTGTATTTATAACGTATATAAACTGTAGATATCTGCGTATAACTGGTATGTAATGTAAAAATTATTTACCAACAGAATAATTTATAGACACATCATATTTAAGTTTTTTTTACTGACTTACTTTATTGTTTATACTGACTGTGACGTGTCATGTAGGTAAGCTTATTGATAAGAAATAAAATATATGTTTGGAATATTTGTTAAATGAAATGTCTTACAATTAATATAAATTATAATTATAGTAACATTTGTAATGATTAAATAGTTACATTTAGAAGTACTACCTATAACCTTAACAAGATTATTTTAAGCAATGGAATATAGAAGAAAACATGTTTTTCTTTTGAAAATAAATTACTGATGTTGAGTTGCATCTTGTATGAGTGCTAGCAGATTTGATCCAATTGTGGTTGCATTTTAAATATTAAATTGAGACGTCAGTGTAATAATTACATTCAACATTAAACAAGGAGTTTATTTATTATTTTAATTTTAATTAAAACTTTAATTTTGTGGTAATAAGTAATGCCTATCACCTACTCAGTGTTAGAAATTCTATTTATATTCTACAGATTTTATTGATTTGTTGAAATTTAAGTGATATTGTAATTCATATTTAGTTTTTATAACAAAATCAATCAATTCTATCACCAATTTACTTACCGAATAAATATTCTTAATATTTTCTATTATCTCGTGACTACTTAATTTCAGTTCAGTGGTTATGAATGATAAGTAAATGTGTACAAACATAATATGTAAATAAGAATGTAATGAGGGGTAGGCATAGGTATCATCAAATATTGTATTTTATAATTTTTTGAACGTGACTTAAGCTAAAATCAAAACCTTTAGTATAATGAATGATAAATGATACAGTTTTTATATCTCGGATGGGAAGAAACGATAATATCGTTATCTAATATGAACACTTCATAAAATGTAATATTTTATTATGTAAATTATATAATATTATACTTTTTTAATTGAGTTATTGTAACTTGTAGATATCAATTGTTTTTAAACTTTGAGATGACGTCATACCCGCACTTGTTGTTTACTTGTCTCCGTCCTACTAACGCTTAAAAATGTACTCACAAAAATGTACGTTCAGCAATTCCACTTTTTGTTATTATTTACTTATTAAAGTTAATAGCTTAATAATGTGAGTTGACCTATTATCAAACTTAAATATATGAAACTTATCTGTGTATTATTCTCTCTGGGTTTTTAGGATATTAATGAGAGAATACATTTAATTTGTTTAACTTTAATTTTGATCATATTATGTAAATCCACACTTATATTAAAGCTAGCAATACAAAATTAGAATTTCTGAACACAAATCTAGCATTTGCTATGTTGCCCATTTGTAAGACCGAGACAACATAATAGGTACCTATGCTTTTAACATTTTGTACTTAATATGACTGTAAGTAACTACCAACTTTGTAAAATACATTATTATGTATCTAAATTTAAATTTAAAAACGTTTAAAAATGTATATGTGTGTTTTATTATGGGTCGGAAATAATAGATATTCACTTTTAAAATACCTATCGCTGTATTATATTATAATAGTATTTATTTTTTTTACACCGAATAACATATTACTATACACAAACAACCATAACGTGTACATTCTACATAATATACAAGTCGAATAACTAATAAGTCCTATTCAATCTATTCAATTTTATTAAACTCGAATTATATGAAAGATTACTTATAAGTGTGCAAAATGTTTTGTGTTGTATCTATGTTTTTTGGCAAAGATGCAAATAGTAGCTAAAATTAGTTATACCTCTATAATAAGGTCGTTGGAATAAACTACTACTACTGTATTACAACTATTAAAAAAAAAAAAACAATTATAGTATTATTGGTGGACATTTTCTATTCATTTAAATCGAATTCGTTAATTTCATTAAATGCATTCGGACAGAATTGTATTAATTTCTTTAGACTTTTAGTTGTGTTAAATAGTCAAAGACATTTTATCAGATGTACTGTATAGTGTATAGTCTTATAAAATTGTAAAAAAAATTATAATAGTAGTATATCTTCTATTTATATATTATCTATTATTATCTAATATAATACATCTAACATTATAACGTCTTAAAAAGAGTGAATACATTATTATGACTGCGTATCTACCTATTATATGTATCGTGCATTTTAAGAAATCTAAATTACTTTTACAGTATAGTAGAAACCGACTATATAACAGCATTTAATATAATATCATTAAAATATGAATATCGTTTTACCTGTTATGTCGTACTAACCGATATTCAGAAAATATTTTAAACATAACAATCAAATATATGGGGTAAGACATAACGTTTTAATAATTTAAAAAATGTTCCTGTGGTTATTAAGTTTCCCACATTTCTGATTTTATTATTTAATTTTATTCAACCCAAAAGTGCTGGTGATTATTGAGTATTTTATATTAATGTTATACTTATAACATAGGTGATACTATTTTTTTTCATGTTATTTCTGTACCCAATTTAGTCTTAAAGTAAATTATATATGTTACTTATTATTTTATCAGTCTAAACCGATATATTGTCATACTAAGCTATATTATGTTGTATAAAGACATAAAGTACCTACTATTATAAACCATGTTGTTTTCTTACATAGACAAACACTGTAGATTACACACAACTATAGAAAACAAAAACAATTTTGTCTTCCTAGAAAAAGTGCCTTTTTGTTTAATATCCCCATGTAACTAACATAAAACCATTCTTAAATAAATATATTTGATTCGATTGTATTACGTCAACTTAATGATACAAAATTTACATCAAAACCTTGATTCCAAACAGTCCACAGTATTCTAACATACTTACATAATATTATTATTAAACAATAAACATTCAGTGATCAACTCTTTCAGTCAAAATCTACAAAAGTAGTAAGAAGGAGTAATAAGAATATGTGTCATTGGAGGATTCACCCTAATGGCCGCGGTGGGGTTAGTCTTATTCAAATCACGATGGTAACCTTAACGCCTCCCTTACAAATACCAACCTTTACGGCAGTGTCCTACCAAACTAACAGGTGCGATATTGTCTCGATGCAAATTTATTGTTATCTAACTATTGTCAGTGGTTTATGTCCACGCCACACAGTGGGACGAAAGACAATTTTAGCGTGCCAAAGTACTATTTTCAAAAATAAAAAATGATTGGTATTTTATCAATAATTTATCTTAACAATATTCTGACGTTAAAAATGTAATTTCAAAAGAATTAATTGACATTCACCCGACTTATAGATGTGTTTGTATAAAATATAATATGTATATATTATTTTATTAATATTTCATAACATTTATAAATTTTTATATTATTTAATTTTCTCACTTAAAACGATAAAAAAATATAATTTTTTTTTACAGTTATTATATTGTCCTACATGTAATAATGCCATATTATTTTTTTATTCTAATTTATTTATTTTTAGTATTTGCTATATTATGTTGATGTTTTAATTATTTTTTAAGGTGTTTGACCTTTGGATAAATGATACTTAGTACTTACATATTTATTATATTTTTCAGTGTTTAAATAAAAACAATCATCTTTCCATTTTTTTTTAATAAAAGTGCACTAGACTTTTCATTCAAAATGCTTTTTATATTTTTATCCATTTTTAAGTTTAATCAATTAAAATATTATTTACTTTAATATTCCACTTAACACTGTTGTGCTCACTTTGGTATACGAGTCAATATACTGACAAAGGTATATCCAGCAAACGATTGACAATAAGATTATCTCATTCGATAAAATGAATAACTTGCCGGACAACCGGTACACGAAATTGCATAGTCTGTAGTTTGTGACGGAGCGATAATGTGTCTTAACTCTACAAAATAATACGAAAATACCTTTTAGTATACATCGTGCTCCAAGTGTGGTCAACATTTACCAAACACTAATTGCAAATGTCAACAATGAATGGTATACAAACGCCAGAACGTGTTAAGACCATTTTGGCGACATTCACCAATATTTTTGGTGAATGTCAAGGTCAACAATCACTGGTGACCGTCAACATGCGACTACTTCGGTCATATACCTTAACATAAACATATATTGAATAGTTGGTAAAACTGAGTAAATTTAAGTATCATTCCTCCAAAGTTCAAAAACCATAGGAACACTTAATATTTCAAGAACATAATATAGCAAATACTTAAAAATGTAATTTAGGAAAATATAATTACTGTATAAATAAAAAATATAATGTTATCGTTTTAAGTGAGACGGTTAAATAATATAAAAACCGTGTTTTTAACAATAGTACGTTATATTTATAAAGAAAACTATTTTTATAAATTACTGTTGATACTGAATGCTAAAAATTCTCATATTCTTAAATAGCTATACATTTCTTTTACAATATGTATATATTGAATATTTGAATAGTTGGTAAAACAGCGTGCATTTAAGTATCATTCAAAAAACCATTAAAACAATTAAAATTTTAAAAATTATAGCAAATACTAAAAAAAAAAAATTAATTAAAATAAAAAAATAATACGTCATTATTACATGTAGGACAATATAATAACTGTATAGGGGGACGGAGTGGCCGACTCGAGTTCGATTCCTTGGCCACGGGCTGCATTTTTCTTCGGACAATGTCACGGTGTCCGGAGAACAAGTGCCACCATCCCACACCCGGGCATGACAGATACCTACGGGTGCAGCCCAATCAAAAATTCTGCCAAACACAACACACACGTGTAAAAATCTACCATTACAAACCCTACTATCTATAATCATAAGACCCCACAATCAGCTAATGGCCATAGTCGCCAGGCTTTAAAGATCAATAAAAAAAAAAATGATATTTTTTATCGTTACAAGTGAGAAAATTAAACAGGTAATATTAAAATATATAAAAGTTTGAAAATATTAATCAAATAATATATATATTATGCAAACAGCTGTATAAACCGGGTGTATGTCAATTAATTTTTTTGAAATTCTATTTTTAACGTCAGAATAATGTAAAAATAAATTATTGATAAAAAAAAACCAATAATTGTTTAGTTTTAAAAATAGTACTTTTGGCACGCTAAAATTGTCAATCATCCCACTGTGGGCCGTCAGAGAATATTAAAATAAAATTGCACAATATATAGTTACTTTTTCTCCAGTTTGACCGTTATCTCCAATTAAACAAAAACGTAATTCTTCACATACATCCATTCTTTGTACCTGTATATAGGTGGTCTATACATTCCATACATTTTTGTATCCATAATGGTTTCATTGGCTCAAATTTGGTTATCTTTCCTAAATATATTTTGTACTCTTTCAATGTATAAATGATGAATTTATAACCAATTTTTTTTAGATATCATAACATATTATATTGTACTTTTATTTTATTCTAGAATTTACGACTTATAAATATTACATATAGAACCAATATACTTATAGATTCGAGATTGCGCTTTAGTAATTATTTTGTTTTGTTTCATATGGAATATTAATTCAACGATGAAAACAATTAATAATAGTAGCATATTTTTTTATTTTTTTTTATTGTTCTTAATTAACATCGACGACAAAGGCCATTAGTCACAATTGTTTATAATTAAATTTTTTTTATTTTAAAGTTGGACTTAAATTTTACTGTAAAGATTTGTTTTGCTTAAGAATTGAATTACTTGTATGGTGGTATCCGAGTCTGGTCCGAATGCTGCATATAGTGTGTTGGGTATGCGGAAGTTTCTATGTTCATCTGCGTATTGAAGGCATTCGGTGATTACATGGTTGACTGAGAGTTCAGTTCCACAAGAAATGCACTGTGGTTTTTCTCCTCTGTCCATGAGGTATCCATGTGTAAGTCGGGTGTGGCCGATGCGGAGTCTGTTTATAACTACCTTATCCCTCCTACTCGGAGGGAAGTTTGGCCAGTCGAAAATTGTGTTCTTTATTCTTCTTAGCTTAGTCTTCTGTTTATGCCAGTGCATTTTCCATTTGAAATGTATGCGATCCTTGATTTGGTTTTTTAAATCTGCATGTTCAGGCATTTACGTAATCGGGTGATAGCGCAACGAACACACCGTACCTAAGCTATACCGCAGACGACGTTTAGTTCATGTTCCGCCACCGGACTGTGCGTGCGTAGCCGCTATACGTTGCTGTGCGTAATATTTTGCTACCTTGAACCGTGGGTTTTGTTTATGTTCCGATTTGTTTTTTTTTTTCTGTTACCGTCAATCACCGTCACTCCACTTCACCAATCACCATCACCAGTCACCGTCACCAGTATCATTACCGTCACTCGTCACCTTCGTTCTGCGTCCGGCTATCACGGTTTATTCATTTATTATTATTATTGATTTATTAGTTTAATATTATATTTGTAAATTAGATTGTTAAGAGCCCCACGCCGGCCGGCACATTTTGTGTCACAATATTTATTTCTTGTTTTTACCAATAGTAGGCCGTCACCCGGCACTTTACATTAATCTACCTACGAGTTGTTGTTTGAGTAGACCATCATATACAGTCCACAATACCGTAGTAACATTTGGTCCTTAGTGCCTAGGATATTTTAATTGAATATATTGAATGTCCTAAGAGTCAGAACTCCGACTATTAGAGAGAATAATTAAATTTTGCATTCCGTGGTTGTTATTATATATTGTGTAGGAGACAGCACGTCCAGTTTGTAAAGTTGGACTTTGAACCTTGTCCGTGGTCGTGGCTTGTTACCCGAACTTGTCGACGACGAAGACGCTATACCGGTCGACCTTGAGATCGCGGGCGGCTTGAGTACCGCCGCAATCTGACCTAATTAATTACCAAATTAGACAATTTAATTATATCTGTACCAGTAGTGTATACAGAGTGTATACAGAAACAAATAAATTATTAAAGTAATTTTATTGTACCTATTTCTCCCTTTTAACTATGGGGGTGTTTGAAGAAGCGAAAATCCGTGTGCAAGATTTACAGAAGAGGGTCCAACGGATAGATGAAGCAGGTCAGGCATTATCGAAGAATAAAAATGATAAAACTGCTAAATCAAAATTTAAGGTAATGTATGCAACCTTGGAACGTATGTACGAAGATTTTGAAACACAGTTGGGAATTTTAATTAAGCACAATGGTAAACCTGGGACGGAGGATGTTGTCCCTAATTTGGATGGGCTGAGGGCTGAGTTCGAGGAGCAGTACTTCAGTTGCAAAATCCTAGCTGACGAGTTTCTACCAGAATCAAGCATGGCAAATTCCGAGGAATCGCGCTTATCAAATAGTTCTCGTGCTAGTAATGCGAGCGTCGTTCCACTTGAGAAGTTAACGATTGCTAAGTTTAGTGGTGATCCAAAGGCGTATACTGGATTTAGGAACCTGTTTGATACGATTGTGCATGAAAATACAAATATACGTCCTGTCGTCAAATTCGGGTATTTAAAGTCATATCTGGAAGGGGAGCCTTTGAAATTAATTGCGAATTTAATGCTCACCGATAGCAACTACGAACTCGCGCTGTCGCAATTAGAAGCTAGGTATGCAAATCGACGATATATAGCAGAGAGTCATTTGGACGAACTGTTTGATGCACCGAACGCTACAGTCGGGAATGGAAACTCTATCGTTCAACTTCTGAACACTATTACCAGTGCCATTGGGGCATTAGAAAATCTTAAGTATCCAGTGGATCAGTGGAGTCCGATTTTACTTCACCAACTACAAAAGAAACTCGACCATCAATTACGAGCCCAGTGGGAACTAGCAGTTGACACAACCACCGATCCCACCTTAGCTGAGTTTGTAACCTTTCTTACCAAGTTTAGTAAGTCAGCTATAGTTAGTCAAGGTAAAGCTGACGGAGGACAACCTAAACACAAATGGATCAAACCTAACCGGACTATGGCCCTCTTTAGCGGAGCACCGTCCAAGGAAGTGAGTTCACCATCCAACCGACCACAGAAGAAGACGTTTAAGTGTCAAGTATGTGAGGCAGAACCTGGACACTTACTAATACACTGTACCCGTTTCAAAAAAATGACACCAAAACAAAGACATCAGACAATCAAGGACCTTAAGAGGTGTTTTATGTGTTTTAGTGAACATTTAGCGCCACAATGTAAATCCGACAGAGTATGCGTAGAGTGTAGCGGACGGCATCATACGTGGCTGCATCTGAGCACCCGGAATGACTCAGCTAGCGAAGATGGGCATACGATAGAACCAGAAGTTAGAGTCCACGTATCGGCTGACATTCGAAATTACCGTACCAGTGTGCTTCTATCAACTGCTTCGGTTTCCGTACAAGATTCTGATGGACAGTTTAGATCGGTACGTGCACTGTTAGACAGTGCAAGTCAGAGCAGTTTTATAACCGAACATTGCTTCAAGAGCCTAGGTTTGTCTCGACGCAAAAGTAATGTAACTATCCAAGCTCTTGCAGGTACGCCCGTGCCAACAGTAAGAGGATTTACACAAGTATTAGTCAGACCAAATGAACAAACGTCGCCAACCCTTACCGTGGAGGTGCTCATTTTACCACGCATAACCGGGCTAACACCATCAGCTCGAATATGGAAGAACGACTGGCCTCACATAGCAGATATAACTCTAGCAGATCCTGCGTATCACGAGTCACTACCAATCGATATACTCTTCGGAGCTGATGTTTTTCCGTATCTCCTTTGTGGGGATAAGCGAGAAGGTGGTCTGAATGAACCCGTCGCGTTGTCCACCATATTTGGATGGATCTTGATGGGACGTATCGCGGGTACGGAAGAGAGGACTACGAATGCATTGTATACAACCTTAGAATCCATAGACCAATCTGTGCAAAGATTCTGGGAGTTGGAAGAAGTACCTACGGCTGAACGGAATACGCCAGCAGATATGAAATGTGAGGAAATATATACCAGCACTACATCTCGACAAGATGATGGTAGATACATTGTTCATCTGCCATTTGTCACCAACCCACCGAAATTAGGAGAGTCAAGGGCCACGGCTCTTAAGCGACTTCATCGACTTGAAACCAGATTAGAAAAGTCGGAAGACCTTCGTACGCAATATAATGCAGCAATGCAGGATTACTTAGACAGCGGTCACATGACAAAAGTACCACAGGCTCAGTGTGGGGTCGAACCAGTCTACTATACTCCGCATCACGCAGTGATAAAGCTCGAGAGTACCACCACAAAAGTACGAGTGGTGTACGATGCTTCGGCTGTAACGACCTCTGGGATGTCGCTGAATGATAATCTATACCCGGGACCAAAATTGCAACAAGATTTACCGGGAATAGTTTTACGTTTTCGGTTGCATACTATAGTCTTTACTGCTGATGTCAAGCAGATGTTCCGGCAGATTAAAGTGACACCAGAACACCATCAATACCAACGCTTGCTCTACCGGTTTTCATTGGCAGAACCAGTAAGTGAATTTGAAATGACAACCGTGTCTTTCGGGCAGCGTTCATCTCCATTTCTCGCGATAAGAACCCTACATCAATTAGTAGAGGATGAAGCTAAACAGTATCCTGAAGTGAGACAAGTTGTACGAGAAGACATGTACGTTGACGATGTTGCCACTGGGTCTGACAGTGTAGAAAACGGACTAGAATTACAACGCAATTTGAGCTTAGTAATGGGGAAAGGGCAGTTTGAGCTTCGAAAATGGAGTAGTAATTCTCGTGCGCTCTTGGAAGCTGTACCAAGCTCACACCGACAAACGGACCCAGTCACCTTCGATGTAACCGAGGGTGGGACCACCAATGTTCTAGGACTTAAATGGATTCCAAATCTGGATAAGTTAAGCTACAATGTCCGACCGAACCCAGTGCGTTATAGCAAACGTGCCATCCTCTCGGAAATCGCGCGTATCTACGACCCTCTTGGATTATTATCACCTGTCACAACCGAGCTTAAAAGGTTAATGAAGTACCTTTGGTCTATAGACCTTGGTTGGGATGACAACATACCACAAGAAGCGGCAGAGGCTTGGACACGTTATCACCAAGAGTTGCCAGAGTTGTCGTCGATCCGAGTTCCCCGTCGAGTGACAAGTAACAACGGAAAATATGAGTTGCACGGTTTTTCTGATAGTTCCGAAGCAGCATATGCCGCGGTGATATATCTCCGTGTCGTGGCACCGGACAATTCGGCAAAATGTTTTATGTTAATGGGTAAATCGAAAGTCGCCCCGTCAAAACGGATCACGATTCCAAGATTGGAGCTCTGCGGTGCATTGTTATTAGCTCGATTATTACATTTTGTGTGCCAAAACCTAACTAGAATCAAGATCGAAAGGGTCATAGCCTGGTCTGATTCTACAGAGGCCTTGGCATGGATAAAGTCGCCAACAGCGCAATTGAAGACATTTGTAGCAAATAGAGTTGCACAAATACAGCGAACGACCACGTCATACTTGTGGAGACATGTACCAACCAAGGAGAACCCGGCAGACTGTGCGTCCAGGGGATTGTCGCCAAAAGAACTCGCCAATCACGTTCAGTGGTGGATGGGACCAACTTTCCTCAGATTGTCAGAAGACTATTGGCCATCCACAGAAGCAGTGATGTTAACCGATGAGTCGCGCGAGGAGCAACTTGAGACGAAGGTAATCACGTTGGTTACGACCGAAACCTTGACCGAATGTCCGTTATTGTACCAGTCGGACAGTTGGACAAAAATTACGCGTTTGGCTTGCTATTGGCTGCGAGTACGTAAGCGTCTCCTTAAAAAGGAAATTCCGGACCGTCAAACACCGCCCACTTCCGCTGAGGTCGATGAGGCCATACGGGCATTAGTACAATGGACACAACGAGTGTATTTTTCTGATGACCTCAATAATCTGACCCACAACCGATCATGTTCATCCAAGCTGCGGAAGCTTGCTCCATTTCTCGATTTCGACAACGTGATAAGGGTGGGTGGACGTTTACAGCGTGCAGATTTACCATTTGATCAAAAATGTCCAATTCTATTACCTAAAGAAGCACGGATGACTACGCTTTTGATCGACCAGGTACACAGAAGCAATGGTCACCCAGGCGCACAAACCGTGCAGAACATTATACGACAGCATTTTTGGGTATTATCGGCAAGAGGTGTAATACGAAAGCAACTCCATCGTTGTATACCATGTTTCAGAGTACTACCTCGGGCTCCTCAACCGATCATGGGAGATCTACCGCCACACAGACTTGGCCAAATCAAACCATTCGGAAAAGTTGGTATTGATTTTGCGGGACCATTCGACGTAAAGGCTGCTCTGTTACGCCGACTGCGGGTCACCAAGGCGTACATATGCATATTCGTATGTATGGCGACTACAGCCGTACACATAGAGCTTGCCTCGGACTTGTCGACGCCCACATTTATTGCAGCCCTCGAACGCTTTATCGCACGACGAGGACGTTGCACGGACATATACACTGACTGTGGGACTAATTTTGTAGGAGCTAATCATTATTTAAAGGAAGTGCAAGAAATTCTGAAGTCACCTACGACCATCCGCTACGCTTCATCAAATCAAGTAACCTGGCATTTTAATCCTCCTGCTGCGCCGCACATGGGTGGCCTCTGGGAAGCGGCAGTCAAGTCGGCCAAGGGGTTGTTACGGCGCATAGTTCACGATCAGGTCCTTACGTACGAAGAACTAAATACTGTCCTCCACAAAATAGAAGCAACCCTAAACTCCAGGCCATTAGGCGCCCTCTCCAGCGATCCTAACGATTTAGCACCACTCACGGCAGGGCATTTTTTGACTATGGGTCCACCAGCCTCTATACCACAACCATATACCCACGACCATCCACTAGCCTACACTCTACGTCAACGTTGGACCCTAGTTCAACAGATTCAACTTCACTTCTGGCAGCGATGGCAAAAGGAATACTTACAAAATCTGCAAACGAGAAAGAAGTGGCAACGCCCAGACAGGAACCTGGCGGTGGATGACTTGGTAATCATTAAGGAACCCACACCACCACTCACATGGAGTACAGCGCGCGTTGTCAAACTATACCCTGGCGAAGACAATGTCGTCCGAGTAGCTGATGTCAAATTAGCTAATGGCAAGACTCTCAAGCGTCCAGTGGTGAAGTTATGCCCTTTACCGTTGTGATTGAATGTGGGACCATTCAAGGTGGGCGGTATGTTCAGGCATTTACGTAATCGGGTGATAGCGCAACGAACACACCGTACCTAAGCTATACCGCAGACGACGTTTAGTTCATGTTCCGCCACCGGACTGTGCGTGCGTAGCCGCTATACGTTGCTGTGCGTAATATTTTGCTACCTTGAACCGTGGGTTTTGTTTATGTTCCGATTTGTTTTTTTTTTTCTGTTACCGTCAATCACCGTCACTCCACTTCACCAATCACCATCACCAGTCACCGTCACCAGTATCATTACCGTCACTCGTCACCTTCGTTCTGCGTCCGGCTATCACGGTTTATTCATTTATTATTATTATTGATTTATTAGTTTAATATTATATTTGTAAATTAGATTGTTAAGAGCCCCACGCCGGCCGGCACATTTTGTGTCACAATATTTATTTCTTGTTTTTACCAATAGTAGGCCGTCACCCGGCACTTTACATTAATCTACCTACGAGTTGTTGTTTGAGTAGACCATCATATACAGTCCACAATACCGTAGTAACACTGCAGTAGCATATTATATTAATTAAAACTACCCATAATATTAGTTACGTGATTCTTGAACGAGTGTATTTTGTTTACATAATTTGTGTACAAAAAATAGGTTGGTAAACAATTTAGTTTATACAAAGGAACTTATATCTTTAATATAACAGTAACACATAGGTATGTTAAATATTAGCTAACATTATACTAATATATTATTATGTAAATAAAAAATATATAAAATATACAATCAATTTGAATAAAAATGAAAAAATATGATGTCGTTTAATGAATTACCAAATTTGACATTTTTCTTTTTTTGGATTCATCGGAGAACCAATTGGACAAGACCACGCTTTTGCAAACTCCGGTGAAAGTGATAGGACTCCCCGTACACGAACCATGTTTGGACTGTGGCTGTCAAAATCGTCAAATTGGCTGTCTCCCTCGTCATAATAACAGTATTGCTAAAATACATAAAAATTATTATTTTCCTATGGTGGATCTTAAAATGTAATTTATTATAGTATAATAAAATAACAATAATAGTTTATTTATAAAAAAAACAATTTATGTATTAATATAATATTATCTATATTACATTTATTTGGGTTTTATTGTTTTAGTAAGTAAGTAAAATGTGTACCTTATATCATTGATGAAATGTTCCCAATATACATATTAAGACCTACCTACTTATACTTCTACTAAATAAAATATTTAAATAAGTAATAGTTTATCCATTATTCATAATTAATATAATATTAATTTATGTAAATAAAGTCTACTGAATAATATTTTATTAGATGTATAGAGTTTTGAATACGATCGTTTTAAGCAAAACATGATTAGTTTTATGACTACAACGTCTACAACTGTTAACAAATAATATAACATTTTAATGAATAGCTCTTCTAATATTGTAAATATAGTCTGAATTATTTAACAATTGAATTCTGTGAAACCAATATTATAAATTATGAAAAGCGTTTCGTAATTATTTTATTAATTTAATATTACATTTTAAAAATTATTTTCGATTAACTGATTTCTTTATTAGTTTTATTAATGATTATTTAAACGGAAAATGGTGACAATCTGCAGTAACATAGACACGAACTTGGTAAAAATATAATCTTGCGGGATGATAATTGTATATACCAGATACCTACATACGCCATGTTGACTGTTCTACCTACTATACCATTGATTATGAATAATTATAATTAATCAAAATAAATGCATTGTGTAGAATACATTGTGGGAATATTAGTTCTAACTGTTATGAAGAAAAATTATTAATTAGGTACCTAATTAATAATTTTGCACATAGACAACGAACAAACACGAATACAATTGTGTAAAAAACTAATAAAAGTATGGCATTTGCAATTTGTTTACCCCAATGGACGTAACCTACCTACTAGTCAGTAGCCACATTATAGGTAACCTGCTATATGGCAATATGGCTATACGATTTTAACGGGTACTTAAAACATTGAATATCTATTTTTAGTACAGAAACGTACCTATATTATTATGTAACACAACTTACAGTAGATGATAATATATAGAGGTATATATAGAGGTACTCACGTTTGCGTATCCCAAGAAAAACAATTGCTCATGACTATAATGTTCCATACCGGGCAATCTAGGTTCTTGTCCGTGGACTTCTACATAACGCCGATAAGCATAATACGCCTCTTTCAATCCGGAAATGTCGGCAATGTTTTCATCTAGTGTTTGTACCCCGTTAACTGCAAACTATACAAACAACAATAACGGATATAAAATTTTTGCGATTTAGCACAGGCTTATAACAAACCCAAAATTAATAATAATAATATAATAGTGCTACGCACAGTCTTATTGTGACTGACGACCTCGATGTCGTTGTAGTGACTTATCAAGCAACTCGCTCTTTTCGTGTACTCTTCATAGCTCCTATTCGACCACCACTGTGCCACGTTTCCCAGCTCGTTGTACAGCCTGCCGGTATTGTCGTAGTTGTGAGATAGTTCGTGTCCTATAGTACTGCCCGTGGCTCCGTAATTAAGTGCCCTGTTGTCAATAGACGCGCGCGTTACAATGATGATATTATGACTCTATCGACCTTGTTCAGGTGGCATTGCAGCAGGTCGTAGTGGTGGACATTTGACCCTTAACAATTTCGTTATTGATTCACCCCCTCGTCACTATGAAAATTATAGCTAAAAATATGTTTTTGCTACTAGCACTGCCGCGCTGATTTCAATGACAAAACTACGGGGGTGCTGAAATTCCTTGTTTTTTTCAGTTAGTCAAGGAAATTACTCCTGCCATAATTTAAAACGACTGTCCAAAAGTAACATAAACTTGAGGGTGCTAATTTTAAAACTGAGGATGATTATCACCCCCAAACTTCCCCTCTCACAAATAGTGTATATGGGTTTTTTATTAAGCTATTATGCATTAGTTCGTTTGATAATTTTATTTTATGTGAACCGTATTATAATATGTATTGTATTAATATGTACATTGTACAATATACTTTTTTATTGTTACGTGTTGAATAATTATTAATGTTGGAGCCCATGACACGCATAAGTCATTTGATTCAATAAATTTATAAATATTAGAATTTTTACTTTAAATTCATAGTTCCACCCTTCACTAATTACCTATAGGTGTATTATTATTAGTTTTAATACTTCTACCTATAAACAATTTAATACTTTTCTGGTCGTGTACATACTATAAGAGTATAGAAGAAAAATCGGAGACATTTGCATACAAACAAAACCTTATGATTTGGTCTGTATTGCACAGAAAAATTTTATTTGGGGTGTTTAGGGAGGGATTTTTTGCGAAATGTCCACCTGGGGAGTCAAATATCTTACACCGTTCATAAAAACACAAGTGAGTCAAATGTCCAGGGGATAGATTTCCGGGAATCGTATTATGTATTTTTATCCACTCACTGTACGCCGTTGTTGAATAACGGAGCTTGTAGTATTGCCGCTGGCATGACTGGAATTCATTAATACGATATTATTGTTAATCTACTCAAGTAATAGGCTTAAAATGTGTACTTAAGCTGGCGTAAGTAATCCATAATCAATAGTATTTGTTGTCTCAGTTTTACGCTTAAAATCGATTAGTAATCCCTATAACTATTAATTATTATTTATCATGATATAAAATTACATAGCCCAGATAGAATTTTGTAATGATAATATTATAATAATGTTATAATAATATTTTTAGTCAAACATTTGCTGTCTAGGAGGTAATATTTAGGCTTTGTCTAGGTAATTGATATGGTTTTATTATTTACAATATTAGAGTAAGTTATTGATATTTTTGATCGAATTCAAAGGTATGAACCTTATCAGCCGTATCTTTCGTTAATTTTTAAGCGAGTTTTATAATGTACGAAATATTTCAATTAACATCTCTGTTACACCTGTGAATAAAATAATTGAAAAAAAAACTAACGAGAGAAAACACACATAGTCTAGTGTCTATCTTAACGAGTTTCATATAACTACTTCGGTTATGGACATAAATTATTATTACAGTATAATTATGCAAAGTGCATATCAAATTTTTATGAGCTGGAACTAGACAACAAATAAAAAGATATCCGGTATATAATCTCAGTTGATAATATTGTTCTGAAACTTACAAAATGCATTCATTGCATTATAACAGTACGCATTTACTTCATCCGGAGTTACTGCCCACCTAGGAAATAATATTATATCGTCAGAATGTTAACATACATAACAATATATTTTATTATCGAGTTTTTTAATTCCCACGTTTAACACAAAATATAAATCTTACGATTGATTTTCCCAATCTCTATCTTCCGTTAAATATTTCAAATCACTCGCCGTGCTAAACATCGAAATCGATAATATATTCTCTATGTGATTTTCTGTAACTGTCAACTGAAATAATATATTAGAAAGTTTATTACGTACCTAACTGCAGAAATTTCAATTTATCAAAAATAATTTAAACGTTCTTACGTTTTCGATTAAATTGTTTATTATATTTTCATAATTGTCTGGGTATCCGAAAAACGTTTTCGTATTTGCTAGTTTTTTTAAAGTAGCATTTTTCGTTTCATCGTCCATCCAACTCACTTCGTTAACCATTTTACGTAAAGCCCATTTTATATTATCAGTCATTTCGGTTAACTAAAACAAATTTCACAATAAATATTTATTTTTTTAAACTGTAGCTTAATTTATTTATTATTTTAAATATACTTGCTGCAGCTTTAGAAGAGTTGTCTAACGTGTTTATCATAGAATACCCGGTGACCATTCCGAAAAATTCACTTGTCAACGAAAAACAATGTCTAAAATAAATGGAAAAAAATATTTGGGTTAATGGAAATTGTTGATTGATGGCGATAAACAATTTCTATAGAAATAAAGCTTAACTTACTCGGAATTAAATTTCTCTCCAGATGGAAAAT